TCTACATACACGAAATTTACGTACAACAAGCGCTTAGGAAGCATTATGAAAGAAATCGCAAATAAAAAAGTTACAAGAATAGTCTTAAAAAGAGCTCCGAATTTGTACAGAATACTTAGAAATGATAAAGGGATAGTTAAAAAAGAGGATAGGTCAGGTGTATATAAGATCCCATACGAGAATCAGATGTTAGGAATAGATAAAGAATATGTTGGGGTTACTACTAGAAATCTAGGGGTAAGGATAAAAGAGCACAGATATGATGTGAGAAAAGGTTCGAATGCCACAGTATTGTCTCAAATGGCGCAAACGGAGGGTTCGATAGTAAGATGGAATGAAGCAGATATACTGAAACAAATACACTCCCCGACCTTGGCAAAAACGGCCGAAAAATTAGAAATTTATAAAAGCAAACTTAAAGGGAATTGCATCAACGCAAGGGATGCCGAGGGACTTCCTTCCGCATGGAAGTTTGCAGTTAAAAACTTCAAATAAGAGCAGGAGCTTTAATATTATGTATATAAAAAACTCTGTATAGTTTAGTTGAGAAACTCCGTACAGTTTATTAAGCATTATTAATATATAGTGTTATCGATTTGTCTATTAAGTTTGAAGTATTAATATTTTGTATACACAATTTATTTGTTATATTTTAATATTTTATTTTTATTTATAATTTTAGCAGCATTTGTATTAATTATATTATTTAAAAACGTTATTTTGCTGTTAGTAATATATTGATTATCCGTTATTAATATTTATATTTTTTGTATTTTGAACTTGTTCTATTTTTTGAAATGTTCTAATTTACCTGAAGATGATCCATTGATTGGATTGAAAACGTTTGTGTTAAGAATAAATCTCTCAGCGAGTGAACAGGTGTTGATTTAGTTATAGTTTACAAATTAAATACCCATATAAACTAGTTCTGGTTTTCATTCTGAAGTTCAGTTATGAAAGCCAAATGAGTAATTGTACTTGAACCCAAACTTGTAGTTTCTGTTAAAACTGAAACTTCAAAATATCATACAAAACCTTTGTTCTTTGATCGTTTATCCAGAATATATTTTTCTCTAAGATTAAAAGCAACAGATTTATGATTGTTGCTTTTGGTAACATTTGTCCTTAATAGCCTGATGATGATAATGAAAGATGCATGTATGAATTAAAATCTACTAAAACATGACAAATTATTCAATATGCAAATTAGTTATGCTTTTCTCTCCAGAATAACCTCCAACTTAGACATTTTAAACTTGCTTGTCTACATATTTGTAGTAAAGTTTAAAATATATCAAATTATTTCAATCCTTCAACATAATGGAGCGAAGTTAATATAGTGGAAGTAAGTCAGACACAAGATGAAATGGCTACAATTAAGAATATGCCATTAGTGTCATTTTTAGATTATAACAATTTCAAAAATCAAGAAATGTGAATGCTTAATTCCAAATAAACAAACACAAATTTAATTGGTCAATAACTCAGTAAGCTGTCAAAGCACAAACATCTTTGTTTACATTTTTACATGTTTAAAATCTAAAAATTTAAAAACACAATAATTTTAAAGCACTGTTTTAATTGGTTAATTTGCATTCAAGTACACAATCATTATTTTTGGCACAAAATGACATCGAAGTTTTTAATTTTATGTTGTTTAATCAAAAGTATAATTCTAAACAATACAAGATCATCCATTTCCTTGAAAACAAAAGAAAGTATAAAAAATTAGACATGAAACAGTCTCTGATCTTGAATTCTGATTTGGCAAAATGTGATTTTAAAAATAGACTTATAGAAACAGAATGCATTGAGTTTATGGAAGTCAAGACAAAATAAACTTTGAGTTAAGGTAGTTTAGCTTAATGAGTCTACTAGGGTGTCCACTTAAACATTATCCAGAGCAAGAGATCTTTCCACCTTTTTACAAGTGTATGCATGTAGTGCATGCTTCTTCCATGGCACTTTGTTTTGTGAGTGAGCTGCCATAGATTTTCTTCCCAAAAACAAAAACTGTCATAACAGCATACATGATAACATGAACCACCCAGGATATCTTCAATTAAAAATTGAATTGTGACTATTTACAAAAAANTATCAAATTATTTCAATCCTTCAACATAATGGAGCGAAGTTAATATAGTGGAAGTAAGTCAGACACAAGATGAAATGGCTACAATTAAGAATATGCCATTAGTGTCATTTTTAGATTATAACAATTTCAAAAATCAAGAAATGTGAATGCTTAATTCCAAATAAACAAACACAAATTTAATTGGTCAATAACTCAGTAAGCTGTCAAAGCACAAACATCTTTGTTTACATTTTTACATGTTTAAAATCTAAAAATTTAAAAACACAATAATTTTAAAGCACTGTTTTAATTGGTTAATTTGCATTCAAGTACACAATCATTATTTTTGGCACAAAATGACATCGAAGTTTTTAATTTTATGTTGTTTAATCAAAAGTATAATTCTAAACAATACAAGATCATCCATTTCCTTGAAAACAAAAGAAAGTATAAAAAATTAGACATGAAACAGTCTCTGATCTTGAATTCTGATTTGGCAAAATGTGATTTTAAAAATAGACTTATAGAAACAGAATGCATTGAGTTTATGGAAGTCAAGACAAAATAAACTTTGAGTTAAGGTAGTTTAGCTTAA